AATGTTGGGCCAGGGAGATAGTTTGGTGGCTTAAGCACCTTCCTTGGAAGTGCAAGGTCCTGTCGAACCTTGGTACCAAAAATGAAATAAAATGAAATAAAATTTTTTATACTACGAAGGGCTTCGTGTACCTCAGTTACTCTGTAAAGAGTGATAGGTGGATTTAAACTCTCCCTAGGTCATTAAAGCCATTTAATCATATAAGAAAATTAAACTTTTTAAATCCCAAAAGACCAATCTCTGATACAGAAATTTTTAGGGGTGAAACTATTAGAAGTAGGAAGTCAATTATAAAGAGAATAATTATCTGTCAACAAAGTGTTCAGTGTGTGAAGACAGAAAGCAGACAGCTATAAATAAAAAATGGAGATACTGTCATAATTCAATGCTGGGGAACGAAATATGCATAGGATGTAAAGAAGAGGCAAGAGTTTAGGTATGACTCTTTGGTTATGGCATGAATAATTGTGTAAATGGTGGTACCATTCATTGAGAAAGAATAAATACAAGAAACAAGTTTCCAAGAAAAGTGGAGTTCACTTTTGGGCTGACTGAGTTTAAGATTCTTTTGGGAGAGAAGTCTGTCTGAAATAGACACAGTATATAGAATCATCAATATATAGATGACAAAGCATGTATATGGTTGAAATCTTTTGTGGGTGTGTATGGAGACAAAGCAAGAAAACCTAAGACAGAACCCTGCCATATTAATAGACGAAGAGAATGAGAAAGTATATTGTATGTCCAAGGATTCTTTTGTGGTGAGCAATAGAAACAAACTCATTCATTTAAGAAGCAAGAATAAAAGATTGATAAAGAAAAACTTCAGGCCGGGGAGATGGCTCAGTAGGATAAGCGCTTGTCTGGCAAACACAAGGATCTGAGTTCAATCCCCGGTTGTGGGGAAAAAAACAAAACTTCAGGTTTGAAGGGAATCCTGAAAGGACAAAAACCATACGGTTTTACAAATAATATAGAAAGAACCATTGTATAATCTCATCTGAAGTCACTAGAATGAACAAGCTGTATCAGAGAGATTCTAAGAATTAATGTTCTTGGAGATGAAATTTTAATCGCTATGGTTTTAACTTCTTTTCCACCTTTTCCCATAAGTCCTATTTTATCTCTATTATATCAAGGAGTTTCCATGGTGTAATTTTTCATTAAATTGAGGAACATGGGATTCAAAATAGATTTAACCAAACCACAAGTTATTTTACATAGCTCCATAAACAACATGTACTAGCTATCACTGTAATAAATATCGGAGTAATTAATAAAGAGAAAAGATTTATTGTAGCTCACAATTCTGGAGGTTTCAGTCCATGATAAGTGGGTTCCACTGTCTTTGGGTCT